TTTGGTGGTGCTTCTGTGCACATTTAACCCTTATCCAACCCAATAAAATTTTTTGGAGGAATTAAATTTTTTAATTTTTGAAATTTAAAATTTAGATATTGGTGGAAATTTATTAAGGAAGCATTTTGAGCATTTTGGAAATAAATTTATTTAACCCTTGTGTCCGACTGTTTTTACTTGGAATATTTTATTCATTTATATAAACCTAAAATGTCTGAAAAAGAAAAGGAAGCATCGTCAAAGCCTAGTGCTAAACTAATAGTGGGTACGCAAAAACACGGCAGGGTGATGAGTGATATTCAACGTATGAGAACGTCACGAAAAAACCATTTCATTCGCTAGGTTTCAAATGGAATACCGAATGCAACTTCTCGAAACATATTGCGAGAAATTGATGGATGTCCAAGGAGATATCGATGTGCTAAATCCAGTGAATGATTTAAGAGCGTCTGTTGAGGAGATGTGCATAATTAAAAAAAGCGTTATATCGGTCCGCAATGAGAGAATTCGAGCCTCAGAGACTTAGTCAAAGTAATATAGGTGGTTATCGTCATTCGTCTTAGTTACCAAAAATGAATCTACCGAAATTTAGTGGAAAACATTCCGACTACAATAATTTTATAAGTCTTTTTGAGAGTTTAGTTCACAACGACCCATCTCTAACAAACATAGAGAAATTTAACCATTTGCTAACATGTTTAACAGATTATGCATTAGGTACTGTGAAAGCTTTTCTAATTTCGGATCTAAATTATGAGAAGGCATTGGCTAGTCTAAAAAACGTGTACGACAATAAATGTTTGATCTTTTTTGACACGATTTCTCAGCTGTTTGCCCTCCCGCAAGTATCAAAACCCTCTGCATCAGGCTTGAGGTCTCTTATAGATGAAATATCGGCCCTCTACGCATCGTTACAGTCCCTGGGTAGTGAAAAGGAAATAAACAACGCAATTTTTATTCACATAGCACTGTCCAAAGTATTATTATTAGGGGGGGAAAAGGTTACCTCGACCCAACTGGATCTATTGTACCCCCTATCTGAGCTTAGAGCTCACCCATCAACCCGGCTCCTTCGATAAGGTTAAGGAGCTTTATCGGGTCGATGCTTCCAGAGGTCCCAAGTGTAAGGAACCTGGACCCGAGGGTTCTGCTCCTCAGGCTACTTAGTGCTGGGCAATCTGCTGTTATGTGTAGGGAGGTTTCATCCTCGCTATCATCCTGTTTGTAATCCCTATATTAAATAGGTGTCTCCTTAGTTTGCAGTGTCCGGTTAGTAAGCCGGTAACTATCCTAAGGGAACTCTTCCCTAGTAGTATAAGTCTCTTAAACCTCTTCATGTCATAATTGACGATGAGCGTTTTGGCTTGTCTTTGGCCTGTGGTGTCTTCCCAGCAGGCTTGCCTCATATGTACCTCTTCCTTTCTTAGGTAATCTGTGATAGTGTGTCTGCCTATGCCACAGTAAGGCTCGGGTCCTATAAGGGGTCGTTCCGCCCCTAGTTTTGCTAGCCTGTCGGCTAGTTTATTCCCGGATATGTCTTTATGTCCTGGAATCCATCTTAAGGACAGCCTGGTGTTGCTGCCCAGATGGTTCAACTTTGTTCTTACTTCTCGAACCAGCTTCGAGGTGATTCTATTACTGCAGAGTGCAGTGATTGCCGCTCGACTGTCCGAGAGGATCGCAATGTCCTTGTTTGTGTACCCGCGCTTCATATTGAGCTCTGCACACCGTCCTATGGCGCAAACTTCAGCTTGGAATATGCTGGTGTATTGGCCCAAAGATTCATGGTGTTTGATTCGTGGTCCTATTACTCCAAGGCCAGTGCCTTGGTGTATTAGAGACCCGTCCGTATACCACGCTATAGTGTGACTCGCCATGGAGTGTACTTCCTTTATGGTGGTCCATTCTTTCTTGTTGCTCAGATAAGCAGAGAAATTCTTTTCGAAGATGAATTCTACTGTCATTTCGTCCCTGGGGTATGAACTCAGGGGAAGTTCGACTAGTAGTTTTGCCGCATCCCTAGAGCTGAGTATGCGGTCACTGCCATTACCACAAGAAGTGATTCTTAGTAGGGTGGCCTTCCGCTGTAACTCTACTACGCAGTGTAGCGGAGTGAGTTCTATGAGAACTTCCAGTGCCGCAGTGGGGCAGGTTCTCATTGCTCCTGTCATACATATACATGCCAGTCTTTGCAGCCTCTGGAGCTGTTTCTGTGCGGTAACGAGCCTAGCTCGTTTACCCCAGGCTACTGACCCATATGTGAGTATTGGCCTCACAATTATAAGGTATAACCATCTGATAATTTGGGGTGAGGTCCGCCAAGATTTCCCTGCAATTTTCCGACAGGTGAAGAGAGCCCTGAGGCACTTATCCACTGTCTTTTGCATATGGGTTGCAAACGTTAGCCTTCTGTCGAAGGTAACTCCGAGCTACTTAACATCTTCTTTAGTTTGTACTTCTTTGTAAAAGGAACAATGACTTTTTTTGCGGGGTTGAGGTTAAGCCCAATTTCCCTGCACCAGTCGAGCGTTATCTTGAGTCCGAGTTGAACAATATCGCAAAGCGTTTCTTCAAATTTCCCTTTGGCTACTATTACTATGTCATCGGCATAGCCCTGAAATTGTATTCCTCTGTCGGAGAGTTTCTTTAGTAGTTCATCTACTAGTAGGCTCCACAGTAAAGGAGACAAGACTCCACCTTGCGGACATCCTCTGCTTGTGGCAACGGTCATTGTGCTGTTGCCAATGGTCGCCATTGCCTGCCTGAAGCTTAACAAGGCTCCAATCCACCTTCTTGTTGTCGCGTCGATATTCCTTCTGGCGAGGGCCGCTAAGACAGCATCATGCGACGTATTGTCAAAGGCTCCCTCTATATCGAGAAAGGCGCAGATTGCAACTTCTTTGTTGTCCACTACCCTTTCAAGAGTGTGACAAAGTTGGTACAATGCAGTGTCTGTTGAACGACCTGCCCTGTATGCGTGCTGCGTGGGTTGCAGCGGACAGTCCTTAAGAACTGTGCTCCTAATATGATAGTCTACCAACTTTTCCAACGTTTTAAGGCAAAACGAAGTTAAGCTGATAGGTCTGAAGGACTTTGGGTTGGTGTTGTCTTTCTTCCCTGCTTTGGGGATGAAGACCACACTAGCTCTACGCCACGCATTTGGGATGTGTCCAATTGCTAGGCTGCTCAGCATCAATCTCCTTAAGCGGGTTAGGAGTAAGTCCAGTCCCTGCTGCAGGAATGATGGAGAGATACCATCCAGACCAGGTGACTTAAATGGTTGGAAGGTCCCAATAGCCCATTTAAGTCTCTCCGGAGAGACTAGAGACTTGGCAATTGCCCGGTCTTCTGCGCTTGGTCTGAGGTGTCTCGGAGTGGACGATGCCTCCATTGGGTTGGACGTATCTTCCGCCAGGGGTGAGCTCCCAGGGAAGTGTGTTTCAAAGAGTAAAGCTAGTTTATCCCTGTCGTCGGAAGTGTAGGAGTTATCACATTTTCTCAGGGCTAGGTTACTTTCTGGTGCCACTTTGGCCATAGCCTTGTGCAATCTTGCCCCTTCATGGGCTGTGCTGATTGCCTTACAGAAGTCTCTATAGTTCTTCCGTTTGGGCTTCCTGATCTCTTTGTTGTAAGGCGTCAGGCTTTGTTTGTATTGTCCCCTGTTATCCTCGCTCGTTTTTGCTCTGTTGAAGAGCCGGCGGGTGGAGATTCGGAGCCGTTCCAGGTTGGCGTTCCACTCTTTCTGCTTTCCGTCTGCCAAGAGGGCAACTGTCCTCAAAAGCATTGGTTATCTTCTTGCAGAGGTTATCCACTGCCTGATCCAGTTCTAAAGAATGTCTGGGTATACCTGACGGTTCGTTAGAGAGATTGAGCTCAAGAGAGGACTTGAACCAATCCCAGTTTGTTTTCTTGGGATTCCTTTTGGGGGCGTCCCTAGCGGTGTTGAAGTCTACTTCAAATCTAATGATTCGGTGATCCGACATTGATTCCTCTGGCGACACATGCCAGTTCTTGATAAGTGGTCCTAGAGACCTGCTCATCAGAGTTATGTCTAGGACCTCCTCTCTTACTCTAGTAATGAATGTCGATGTGGACCCGACATTAGCGATTTCTAGGTTACTATTTACAATAAACTCTATTAGCTGCTCACCTCTGTTGTTGACGTCGGTGCTTCCCCATATCACGTGATGTGCATTGGCGTCACATCCTATGATTAGGGGTAACTTCTTCCTTCTGCAGCATTCCACGAGTCCGATGATTTCCGGTGGTGGGCATGCTGCATCCCCAGCGAAATACGCCGATGCTATGGCGATCGCTGGTAACTTTCCTGTGCCGCTCAGCGTTACTGCGACACAGTCACTGGTTAGGAACTCTGAAAAGATATTATAGTTGATATCTTTCCTTATTAATATGCATGCTCTTGGGTGTGCACCCCGTTGGTCGCATATTACCTTTGATTCCTTGGTGTACAGGCCTTTAATGCCCTGATTGCACCAAGGCTCCTGAATGAGAGCTAGCCCGAGATGTTGGGAGGTGAACAACCTGGCCAGGACGGCGGATGCCGCCTTGGCCCGGTGTAAGTTCACCTGGGCTAGCTGCGTGCTGCGGTGTGCAGCCATTACTGGAGCGGGTGCTCCATGTTTTGTGAAGGGGGCGGGCATTCCCCTTTACTGCCTTCCGTCAGGGTGACGTCGGCCTCCTTCTCGTCGATATCTTCTAGGAGGGGCTCTTGTGCCACCTCCTGGGAGGGCGAGGGATGTTCATCCTCACTCTCTACGTCCATATCGGCGATAGCCTCCTCCTCTGCACCCAATGGCTCTTGTGGCTTTTCGAGGGATTCCTCGACCTCCACTTTGCCGTCTTTGGGGCCGGGGGGCGCTGCTTCTGTTGCCGCCATCTTCGCCGCCTTCCTGAGACCACTCACCGAGACCACTCACCGAGACGGTCCCGAATCTAAAGTTCAGCTGGTGCCCTTTAGAGACGATCTCATCTCGGGTGAGTTAGTCTATCCCTATAACGAGGAGTGCCCCGCCTCCGTCGTTCCTTCGGGAGACCACCTTCCAGGAATCGACCTCCATTCTATTCTGGCGTCCCAGCATCATCAGAAGCTCCTCATTGCTTCTTTCTGCACTTCTAGGGCAGAAGACTGTGACATTGTATGCCGCAGGAATGTCTTCTCCTACCCTAGTGTCAAGGGGCACGCCTTTCCACGTCCTTAGCTGAGGCGTTACAGCCCTCAGCCAGTCCGCCGAGTCCTGGTCCAAGCAGTCTATCAGGAGGTATCCGACCCTAAAGTGGATACCTCTGAAGGCGACTGCTGAGTCCCATTCAGACGTGACTACGTCGTCCATTATGGCCTCCTCCAGCTCGGCAAGCTCTTCGTTGCTCAGGTACACCTGCGGGTAGTCCTCAGGTAGTACCGCAACTCTGACTCTTTTGGCGGCCTCCGCGTAGGAGGTATGTGTGCCAGTGAGAGGTGCCGCACAAGTGGAGGGTGGCTGCTTCTCACCCTTGTCACCCGCCTTCGGCACGCTGGGTGTGCCAGCAGATGCCTCAGGGGGGGTCTCCTCGTCGCCGCCGTCTTCGATGTGCCAGGCTCATCAGGCCTTGGGGGACGGGGGGGAGGTGCCGCTGCCTCTTTGATGCCCTCTGACTTGAACGTTTTCGGGGTGTCCATCGGAGGGGTGAGGGTACTATTTGCCCGCTTGCTGGCAGGGGCAACGTTTTGTGCCACAGGTCGTGGCTCCTTCGCCTTCTTCAAAGCTTCATCAGGTGTCATGCCCTGCTGAAGATACCTTAGGTACCATTGGACCTTGGACCCCGACAGGCCTTTCCTGTTGGGGTCGCCAAGGCCTCCTGGTTGTCCACTGGCTGGAAGGACCTCTACCTTATTGGCGGGCTTGGTCTTCTGTACAGCCGCGGGGGGTGGGCAAGCCGGCCGGGATGGTCCTGCCGGTAGCCCACGTTCCCGAACTGGAACAGTCGGTCGCTGTGGGGGTTGTCCCACATTCTGCGTCCGTGACGCACTCCTGATGGAAGCTGCGCTCCTGGGTGGGGCTGGTCCCACCTGGGGTCGCACTCCGTCAAGGAGTCTTTCTTCAAAAAGCCTTGCGGCACTTGAGGCAGGGATATCCTGCGGCAATTTGGTTTTCATATTCTTTTTCATAATAGAATCCCACGAGTTGCGGAGAAAGTATGGTTCGTCCGGGCAGAGATCCGCCATACCCGGGTAAGGCCAGGCGGTCGCCACTTGCCTGAACCCTCCGTGAGAGACTGGGCTATTTGTTAATCCGGGCCCCCAGCCAGGCTGACTATCGGCACGGGTCGGATGACACCTTAGTCCGGCCCGGAGTGAGATTGTGTGGGGAGGGGAGTTGATAGGTCATCGTGAGGGAAGAGGAGTGTGTGAGGCTATACTTTTGAAGACGGCAAGACAAACGTCTCATCAGTACACCGACTCCGGTGTACCCGCTGCTTGTCCGGGGTTGCTTATTAGCTTGCGCCTATTCGCAACTAACCTTAAAGAAGGCCGTTCGCTATCCGCAACCTGCGACCCGCCTGGTGCCCCCTCTTGAACATCCCACTAGTTCTCGAGGACCAAGTGTCCAAAGTAGATCACACAACAAAATCCAGATTTGAGGAACAGCTAGATTATAATACGTTGCCGACATGGTCTGATTGTGCGACTCTGTTGATTTGGCGATATCAACATTTAGCTGCTGAAGAGTCAACCAAAAGTAAAGGGAAGCCTAACCAAGGTTCCAATAGAGGATATTCTAAATAGTCCTTCTCATGCACACAAACAGATCGCAGACCTGAATCAAAATGTCGATATTTCTCAGCGACAAACCATAGTTTAGGCAGTTGTCAACCTCTTATGGCTTTGTCAGTGATCCAACGGTTCGATTTTACGAAACACAATCGGTTGTGTATTAATTGTCTGAATCCAGGTCATCCAGTCAAGAAGTTCAAAGCAGTAAAGTGTCGCGTTTGCTCCAAACCTCATAACACACTTCTGCACAGATACGGAGTAGAGCAGCAACCAACTTCTTCGGGATCACTTCCTCAAGTGCAAGCCCAAGCATCTTCAGTAGCATTTGACCATCCCAATCAAGCCCATTCTTGTCATGTTGCAAGTAGTGACCAAGTTATTCTTGCTACGGCTGTCGTTAAGGTACGGGATAGATTTGGACAGTTTCAATTAGCACGAGCTCTGTTAGACTCAGGGTCTCAAATAAACTTTATGGCCGAGGACTTAGCACAGCGTTTGCGGTTACGCAAGAAAGAATCCTATTTGAATATCACCACTGTAGGGAAGAACGACTCGGTAGTACGGCACAAAGTCCACACGTCGATTCATTCTCGCGTCAATGCTCATAGTTTCGCTACTGATTTTTGGGTACTAAGCTCCATTTCATCATATCAACCAGATAACGAAGTCAATTGTGCACAGTGGAAAATTCCAGCAAATATTGAATTAGCAGACCCTCGTTTTCACAAGCCCGCTAAAGTAGACTTACTAATTGGGGCAGAATCCTTTTTCGAACTTCTCAGCGTAGGCCAAATAAAATTGGGTTCAGAACATCCTTCAATCCAGAAAACTTTATTAGGATGGATTGTTTCGGGAAAGTACACCAAACGCGTATCGAATAATGCTCAAGTATGGAGCGTCACTGGTAGTGAAAATATAAGTTCTCTCGACTCTTTTGTAGAACGTTTTTGGGAATTGGAACACGTCCCAGAGAGATCGAAGGCTGTTTATACAGCTGAACAAGTTTCTTGCGAGCAGCACTTTGAGCAAACAGTACACAGGCTTTCGTCAGGTCGTTTTGTGGTAAAGTTGCCATTTAAGACAAATCCAAGTGCTTTAGGCTCATCCTTCGAAACGGCAAGGCGAGTTACATGACATGTACCAAGACTTTATGAAAGAATATCTTAACCTTGGGCATATGTCGCTGCTTCCAACACCTCCTCCAGGACAACACTATTACATTCCACATCAATGTGTCCTAAGACCTGATAGTAGCACCACAAAGTTGCGAGTTGTTTTTGACGCTTCAAGTAAAACGTCAACCTCGATCTCATTAAATGAGACTTTAATGGTGGGTGCAACGATTCAGAGGGAGTTTTATGCTATTTTGGCAAGATTTCGATTACACAAATATGCCTTGACTGCTGATATCTCGAAGATGTATAGGCAAGTTAACATTGCCAATGAAGACAGAAATTTCCAACTTATCGTGTGGAGGGAAAAGTCGACGCAAGCTCTACAAACCTATCGCCTCAACACTGTCACTTATGGAACAGCCTCTGCTCCGTTTTTGGCCATTCGTTGCCTCTTTGAACTGGCAAAAATTTACTCTGAGTCACATCCTGTCGCATCAGAGGTAATTTCAAGCGACTTCTATGTAAACGATATGCTCACAGGAGCAAACAGTTTAGAAAAGTTGGAAGTCATTCGCAAAGAAGTGACCAAGGTGTTAGAGTTAGGTGGTTTCCAGCTGGCCAAATGGGCAACAAATCACCCAAGGTTGATGACTAACCAGGGATCGGAAAAATCGCTTATATTCAACACTTCCTAGTCTGTGAAAACGCTTGGGATGAGATGGAACCCTCAGAGTGATGCCTTTCATTATAGTTTGGAGAATTCGTTTCAGTCCCTACCACCAACTAAACGCAACATTTTATCCGTCACAGCACGTTTGTTTGATCCCTTGGGATTGTTGTGCCCGCAGATCACGAGAGCTAAAATCTTGCTTCAGGAACTGTGGCGACAAAAACTGGATTGGGACGAATCGGTTTCCATGAAGAACAAGAAAAGCGTGGCAGTATGTTCCGTCACAACAAATCAACCGAACGTCTTCATTGAGCTTGTTGGAAAATGTTCGTCATTCAATAAACTTCCGCGGATTATGGCATATGTAAATCGGTTTATTCAAGGGAAGAAAAATAATCGCGATATTGGTATTTCGGCTAACGAACTGAAGTTATCGTTTCTAAGAATGGTCCAAGTATATCAAAGAGCTGATTTTGGTTTAGAATATGTCAAGCTCGAGAAATCTGAAACTTTAAGCCCACATCTTCAACGTCTAAATCCTTTCTTACACACTTGCGAACTAGAAGGCGTAACACTTCAATTAATCCGAGTTGGGGGAAGGTTGTTAAATGCACCAATACCGTATGATGCCAAATTTCCACTGTTACTGTCCTCAAAAACAGAATTTGTTTCGCTGTTTCTTCGAGACCTGCATCGTACTCATTACCATGCTGGTGCCAAGGTGATGGTATCACTTTCGAGGCAGCAGATATGGCTAATCAATGCGCGAGAAGCGTGCACAAAAGCTGTCCGTAGCTGTGTCCACTGTTTCAAATACAAATCAGTGCTAATGGGTCAGATAATGGGCAATTTGCCAGCCGATAGGGTCAAGACAGCACGCCCCTTTTTGGTTTGCGGGGTAGATTTTTGCGGACCATTTTATGTGTCACTAAAGATCCGCGGTAAACTTCCTATCAAGACTTATGTTGCCGTTTTCGTGTGTTTTTCGTCAAAGGCTGTTCACCTTGAGCTCGTTGTAGATTTATCCACTGACAGCTTCTTATCCGTTTTTAAAAGGTTCGTCGGGAGGAGAGGGCTGCCTCAGAAGATGTACAGCGACAACGCCACGAACTTCGTGGGAGCGAGCAACGTGCTCAAGGACGGAAGAGTGCGTGTGGCGAAGGTACGGACGTCAGGAGGCGTCATCAAGCGCGCCGTGATTGATTCTCTTGCTACTGTCAATGAGAACAGACGTGTTTTTATATCGCTCCGCCGTGTAATTAAAAATACATCGTAAATAGCCGAACTCCATTTCGCGAATAGACGCTGAGGTAACGCATGGGTACATGTACTCGTGTTGCCTATGAAATTATTTCAAGTTGTGTTCAAATTACGAAAATAAACAATAATACAGCTGATCATAAACAAAACCAACGTTTAAGAGCACCAGCTCTGTAACGAAGAGTGATAATGAGCAAGGCTCGGCAACAACAACAAGACGAACGTCGGCTCTCGTCAATTAGAAACAACGCTTACTTCTCCATAAGAGCGGAAGAGGTGGAACCGACAACAAATGCAACACTAAAAGTGAGTACGGAGAGAGCACGCTCGCTCTCTCCCGTCTTATTATGTCCAAGCGGCGCATCACAAAAACAGCCGTGGAGTGCCCAATGCCCGTCCCCCGACCCCTACAACATTACCAACGATCTGCTGATAACAACAACGACCAGCACAATGCCATCGTTTAAGACGGTGACATCGACACTAGCGGCGACAACAACCACTACAACAACCACATCAACTGCAGTTTCTGTTTCGTCAGCCCTTACTGACAAGCTAGCCAATACCCAACCCAAAAATAACAAAAATGTTAATGGATCGTCGTTAATTCAAACCGGAATCGATCGTTATGTGCAAATTAAAAGAAAATAAAGCCCACAAGCAGCCAAAAAAAGCAAATGCATCAAAATTCACGAAGAAAGTTGAAGCCACTGTATCAAACAATGCGCTAACAAGAAATAGATTTTCTATCTTGAGTGACCCAAAAGAAGATGATACCGCTTAAAAACCTCAGAACAAGCAACTAAGGCCACCACCAATCTTTGTACGTCAGGTAAATTGTTCTGAATTGGTAAAAAAAATAACTGATCAAATAGGAGCAAACAATTTCTACGTTAAATCCTTAAAATGGGGAAACATTAATGAAACAGAAATACAAGTGAGCAACGAACAGGACTATCGATCTGTTGCCAAACACCTTGACAACGGAAAAATAAATTACTACACCTACCACCTTAAAAGTTGCAAAGGACTACAAGTAGTTATAAAAGGCATCGAAGCAACAGTCCCTATTTATGAGATAATAGCTGGACTTAAAGAAAAGGGCTTTAATGCCAAACAGGCAATGAACATATTTAATAAGAACAAAGTTCCACAGCCAATGTTCAAGGTAGAGTTGGAGCCGGAAACTTTG